TCTGGAAAGGATCCAGGGTGGCCAAGGAAGGGGTTGGAGAGTGGTGGTGCTTTGTGGGCAGGGGAAGGGGAGGTGGGGATGGAGAAGGGCTGGAAGGTGAGTGGAGGGGTGCTTGAGGAAAATTATTTGTTTCCAAGCACTGAAATCTTTGAGAATGTGAACTACTGGCTTTTTTCAAAGACTCATTTCTGGCTTAAAATGAAGACTTAGCTGGATGCTAATGGCTCATGCCTGTAATCCTAGCTACTCAAGAGACAGATCTGAGGATCATGGCTCAAAGCCAGCTAAGGCTGGCTTTTATCTCCAATGAACCACCAAAAAGCCAGATGTGGAGGTATGGCTCAAGTGGCAGAGCACCAGTCTTAAGCCTGAAAGCTGAGACAGTGCCCAGACCCTAAATTTAAGCCCCAGGACTGGCACACACACCCACATAAAGTTACTACTATCCTCCTGTGTGACCCCACAGAGTCAGATGTGCTTGTTTCAAAGCTTTTCACTGTGCCTCCTCTGCCTTTTCCTGCAGGCTTCACTCTCCATTCATAAGTAAGAACATCAGCAGAAACAAGGGAAGACTCGCTCCTGCAGGGAGCCACTCAGAAGGCTGAGATCTGAGGACTGTGGTTTTCCAAGCCAGCCTGGGTAGGAAAGTTCCTGAGACTCTTATCTCTGATTAACCAACAAAGTCAGAAGTGAAGCTGTGGCTAAAGTGGTAAAGTGTTAGCATTGAGTAAAAAGGCCAGGTAAAAGACATAAAGCCTGTGTGCCTGATCATATAAAATCATATTTATCGAAATTAACTCTAGGAAATGGAAACAAGGGTTTTTTTCTTTTTGTCTTGTTTGATCATTTATCTGTCTTTGGGAGGGTAAGGGGGCACAGAAATGGAGAGGAAAAGGGTGAACAAATGCAGCAGTGGTGCTCACTGGACAGTATGTTGAAAATTAACTACACAACTTGTAGGTGAGGATGGGAGGGAAAAACTGGGAGCGAGCAAGGAAGGAATGATATTGTCCAAAAAGAAATGTACTGTTCACCTGACATATAACTGCAATTCCTCTGTTTTTAGCAGTTTCAAATATTTTTTAAGCCAAGTGAAAGACTGAGGCCCTGAGTTCAAGCCCAAGTATGCTCAAGAAAGAAAGAAAAAGCACGCAAGCAAGCAAGCAAGAGGGAGGTAGCAAGGAAGCAAGCAAGCAAGCAAACAAGCAAGCACAAATAAATCCAGACTTGTGGACAGTTACCATCCAAGGTAGCAAAGGCCCAGCAGGAGCACTGAAGCACTTGATGGCCATGTGCACATGTCATACTCATTATTCTCACACCCTATTCTGAAAATGTTCATTGAGGCAAAGGAGATTGTACTTATATTTCTTTTTGATAGACACAGCAGGAAGATTTATCTCATAGAAGATGGAATGACATGATTTGGGGAGGGAATATTAGGGCTTAAACTCAGGGCCTTGTGCTGTCCTTTAGTTTTTTCACTCGGGGCTATTTCAGCCACAGCTCTACTTCTTTTTGGCAGTTAATTAGAGATAAGAGTCTCACAGAGTTTCCTGCCCAGGCTGGCTTCAAACTGTGATCCTCAGATCTCAGCCTTCTGAATAGCTAGTATTACAGGCATGAGTCACCAGCACAGGTAAGAGTTTTGCTCTTAAGGCTGATATTCCAGGTTCTCCTGAAACCAGCTTCACCTCTCCTAATTCCTACCAGGTATCAAACTAGGAAATCAGTAGCTACAAGTGGCTGTTCTTGGAGCAGTCTTCAGTGCTTTGTAATTTCCATTTCATTATGTACCTGTCTCTGTACTCCACTCCCCCAGCCCAGGACCCTGCAATCACATATAAAGGACTAGCCTCGCCCCTGTTGGCCCAGTCTTTTTATGGATCTAAAGATGGAATACGAAGGATTGACCTCTACCCTGTTATTCCTGGCGCATATGGACATCAGTCAAGCTACTAAAGATATGTGCAGACTGCCTGAAACAGGCAGGATAATCCACCTAAGCCTGGCTATAAACATTCCATTGTGGACCCAACCTGTAGGAACTCTGAAGCTAAGCTGTGAGACCAGTAAGGGTTAAGAGACAGAACAGAAGGCTGAGCGCTGGACCCTGAGGTCAGTCAAGACAGATGTAGAGCTGTTTTGAACACTAAAAAACCTGAGACTTTGGATAAAGGTCAATTACCACTATAGGTAACCTAGTCTCTGCATGCACCTGCAGTCACTTCCCCTCTACTAATCTCTGTCTTCTTGTTCAGACCCCATAAAAGCCTAACTCCAACTCTGCCTCCCTGCACAACCCCAACACCCGCAGGAAGGTTTGTTGCCCCTTGCTGTGCTTCAATAAACAGTCCTATCCTGTTGAGAATTGTCTGGACTATCCCTTTCCCTTTCTCTTCCATTTTTCTAACATACAGTCATACAATAGTTACCTATACACAACTGCATAAATGCAGTCACACACACACACACACACACACACACACACACACACACAGACTCTTTAACATGAGAATAAATACTGTGCTTGTGGCTATAAACTTGTATTCTGAAGATACCCTCCCCCTACTACCTCTCAAAAATGTATATGGATTCCAAGTTTCCCTTAGACTTTCTAAATAGTTCTTATCCTTGATAAGTATACTTTTGCCTCCAAATCTTTGACTCAGACATATAAAAACAGAACTTTTAGTTCTATTGAAGTTAGTACTTCAGCCACTGACCTTTTTCAGGTCTAATTTCATTAGCTTCCTGCATTTGGTGTCCTAGTTAACAATGAATAAACTCTAAATTATACACCAGGCTCTGTGCTAAGCTGTTCATGTCACTCCCTCACAACTCAACTTCAGGCCTCTTCTCCAATTTTCACATACTCCAAATAACCTATGCATCAAAGTACAAAGCTAAGACCAATTCCAGGGCCCAACATGTACAGCAGTACCCCCGGCCATGGTGACCATCATGTATCCAGCCTGGCATTTTGTAAGCACAGCCATCCGGGGTCCTGGACACTGCTGGGGGCCACTGGGAAGCCACTTGCTTAGTCCAGCATCTAGTTCTAGAAGGCCTCAGGTGTTGGTACACATTTGAAACTGAGAACCAGGAGCTAGAGGAGCTAGAGGCATCCCTGGGAGCTCACACAGCACCCCATGTCCCCCAGACCCTCTGGAGCTGGCTGACTGATCAGTTTTATTTCTGCCACATTATGGAATGATTGAATAAAACAATGACAAAAACCAGAGAAGTTGGAGGAAGCAAAGGAAGAGGTGACATTGTCCAAGAGAAATGTATGTGTTACTTGAATTGCAAAATGGTGACCCGTGTATACCTTAACAACAACAAAACCATATTTTTAAAAAAGAATGCAAGCCTGAGGCTGGTGGCTCACACCTGTAATCCTAGCTACTCAGGAGGCTGAGATCTAAGGATTGTAGTTTGAAGCCAGCCTGGGAAGGATAGTCTGCGAGACTTATCTCCAATAAACTACTCAGAAAAAGCTGGAAGTGGCGCTGTGGCACCACCCTTGAGCAAAACAAGCTCAGGGTCAGTGCCTAGGTCCTAAGTTCAAGCCCCAGGACAGGCAAAAAAGAAAAAGGAATGTAGAAGTTATGTGGCTTCTAACACATCTTACTCATTGGAGTAGGACAGAATTTGGGCAATACTTCAAAAAAGAAAAAATAAGTAGACAAAAAGTCCTTTGAAACTCTTATTTTCCACCAGTAAAATATTAGAAGTTGTCTAAGAAAGGAGTTGGGACGTTAGCCTACCATGCTGGAATCTCTGGGTTGGATCAGGGCTGTGTGTGTGAAGCTCTGGGTTGGATTAGGGGTGTGTGTGTGCATGTGTGTGTACCAGTACAGCAGCTTGAATGTAGTCTTACATTCTAACTTTTTTCATTCAAGGCTGGCACTCTACCACTTGAGACACACCTCCATTCGCCACTTGTAGCTTTTTGCTGGTTAATAAGTCCTATGGACTGATCCTTAGGTCATATTTTCACATGGCTGTATTCAAAGCAGTAGTGCCCATCAGACTCACTTTATTCAATTCCTGGGGATGAAACATTAGCTTTAAACAACCAAGATTTTTCTAATAAAAGAAGCCCAAAGTCTCACTATCCCACATTATCCACAGGGCTACATTGTTACTAATCTATTTGCTACTGTCAGGGATCTAAGAAATGTCCAAGTCAAACTGTGAGTGGATTAAAATGCACAATTATCTGCTTTATTTTACAGAGCATACCCACTGAAGGTAAAATGTAAACAATGAACTGTAACAGTACATAATAAAGTCTTTCTGCTGTTTAGGACCCTGTGGTTGCAACCAAAACAGGCAACACATACCAGGCTCTGGTGGTTCACTCCTGTAATCCTCACTACTCAGGAGACTTAAGTCCTGAGGATCGAAGCACAAAGCCAGGCTGGGCAGGAAAGTCCATGAGACTCTTCCAATTAACCATCAAAAAGCTGGAAGTGGAGCTGTAGCTCAAGTAGTAGAGCACTAGCCTTGAGTGAAAAACCAAGTTAGGCCACTAGGCCAAGTTCAAGCCCCAGTATAGGCTATACCACACATACACACACAAAAACTCCAGAAAACAAAACAAACAGCAACTCACAAAATTTAAATGGTGTTCATTTTACTCCAGACACAAGCTAAATACAAAGTAGACTGACAGGAGATCCTAAATTCCCAAAGACTGGACAGTCAAGTCTCAGCTCTCAAGTAACTTCGCTCTAACAGGGAGTCAAGAATGAGTCTTTTGTAAAAGATAACTGTATGCATCATACCTACAGAATATTTTGTGGATTTGCTCTGGGATACAACTCTTGTCAACAAGGCCACCTTCTGTGGCACTGCACTGACGCAAGCCTAACAGGGAGGCAAAGTACATGTTTGAGGAAATCAAAAAAGGCACAAGCACTTCCTCTGTTAACTTTTTGCAGGAATTGTTTCAACAACTCCTTCCTCCCCCCCCCAAAATAAACAGAAGATGGTAGTATGCAAAATATCTCATCTTTATTTTGTGTGAATAATTGTCAATACATCAGGAACTTAAATGATTATACAAAAGATACCAAAAACTCAGAATGTTAAAAGCATTGATAATAGTTAACACCTGATCAGTGTAGGCAGCTGGCAGGTTCCAAATCCTTGGCATGCAAGGGACTGAACTCTGCAGTACACTGACCAGGCAAGCCGCTCTACACTACCTTTTGCTTCCTAGTTTGTTTTCCAGGTAGGGTTTCTGCCAGGGCCAGCTGCAAACAGTGATCCTCCCATCTCCACCCTCTATCCAACAGCTGGGGATTATAGGCATGAACCACACACCCAGTCCCTTGGCACTGTTCTAACAGGCTACCTGCTAGCCTTCTTCAACAATTCATCCAATATAGAAAAGCTACTTTGTAAAGAAGCTACAATGTATTTATCAGCACATTAAATGACTTTTGCAGCTGAAGTGTCTAAGATAACCAATGTTATCAAGTGTTCAGTTTTAAAGGCAAGGAGACCTGTAAATGGTATTTTCTCATTCTTTTTTTTCTTTCTTCTTTTTCTTTTCTTTTGCCAGAAGCTGAGATTCTGTTGGCAAAATATGGTTTATTCATGTGTAAAAAGGCTGGCTCAGTTTAAGAGAATCAGAAAATGACAAGAGGCCATGGGCACAGATCAACATGCACCAAGAGAAGCCTTCATCCTCACAGGCTTCTTTAGGATTGTTCCTTAAAAATATGAGAATCAGGGGCATTCTTACTCCTTTCAGCAAAGAAACAAAATAAAGAGATGGGCCTTGCTGAGTAAAAATCTGTGAATTTGAGCACATCTTAAGAGGTCCAACGTTGGTCACTTATAAACTAAGAGTTAATATACAAAACGATACTAACAAAATCGCCTACTTCTGAAATTAATTTTCTTCCTTTTACCTAATTACTCCTTCCACAGAAAGTCCTAGGCTGAGTAGGCCTGGCACGTGGAGTTCTACAGTGCGCAGGAGAACGCGGTGCTCCTTTATCAGGGGGATGCAAATGGCCCTGTGAGCGTGTCCTGCTCCATGTCACGGCAGGCTCACGGGTCCCCGAGGGCGCCGTGCTGGGGAGGACTGGGGTCTAAGTGCTCTACTATAAGCTTCTAGTCTTCTCTTTACCCCTCACTTTTTCTTTTTTTTGAAGAGAGTGGAAGCCGTGCCCTTCAGTACGGCCTTCCTCCCCGTGCTGGCCTTCCTCCCAGCGCCGGCCTTCTTCCCCGTGCCGGCCTTCCTCCCGGCGCCAGCGGCCTTCCTCCCGGCGCCAGCCTTCCTCCCCGTGCTGACCTTCCTCCCGGCGCCGGCCTTCCAGGAGGCCGCCGGGCGGGCCCTGGGCCTGGCCTTGCCGGTGCGGGGCGGCTCGGCCGCGTGCACCTTGCTGTGCTGGCGCAGGTGCGAGCTCTGGCTGAAGCGGCGGTGGCAGGCGCCACACTGGTAGGGCTTCTCGCCGGTGTGCGTGCGCTGGTGCTGGATGAGGTGCGAGCTCTGGCTGAAGCAGCGGCCGCACGCGTCGCACTGGTAGGGCTTCTCGCCCGTGTGCGTGCGCTGGTGCTGGATGAGGTTGGAGCTCTGCTTGAAGCTCTCGCCGCACTCGTCGCACGTGTACGGTTTCTCCCCGGTGTGCACGCGCCGGTGCTGGATGAGGTTGGAGCTCTGGAAGAAACTCTTCCCGCAGTCGGCACACCGATAGGACTTCTTCCCGGTGTGGATCTTCTGGTGCTGGAAAAGGGTAGAGCTCTGGCTGAAGCTCTTCTCGCATTTGGAGCATTTATAGGGCTTCTCGTCCAGGCCTCTTGGCAGTCTGCTCAAGCCCGTGTCGAAGCGGATGCTCACGCCCCAGTGCTGCCGCTGCCGGCCAGCCTTGCGCTTCTTCTCGGGGGCTTTGCCCTGGCCCGAGCTCCGGGAAATGGCCCCCTTAGGCTTCCCTAACCGCATGGTGAAGACCAAGGCCAAACCCTCTGCCAAGGCCAAACTCTACTGTATTCTTCTCAACTAAGGCCTCATTTGCCAAGGTAACACAGCTCCGAAGCTTCTGCCTGTAAAACATAGAACAAATTATAAATGCTGATATTCAACTTGAATACCTCTTCAACCCATCAAAAGTTCCATTCAAGCCTGGTGCTGTTGATCACACCTGTCATCCTAGCTTCCTAGGAGGCTGAATAGATTGCAGTTTGAAGCCAGTACAAGCAGGAAAGTCCTGGAGACTCTTATCTACAATTAACCAACAAAAAGCCAGACGTGATGCTGAAGCTCAAATGGGAGAGTACTAGCCTTGAGCAAAAGAGGCTAAGGGCCAGTACCCACGCCCTGAATCCAAACCCCAATACTGGAACAACAACAATAAAGTGGGAAAGGGATAAAATCTTAGTGGGAATAGCAAAAGTGCAAAAAGAATCACAATTCAAGTAGCAAGATAGTATGTTTAAAATTTATTATGTTAAACTCCTCATAGTGACTAAAGTATTCAAATCTGAATGACAAATCATTATCACTTTATGATGTACCTCTGCTTACTATTATTATTATTGCGTGTGCCAGTTCTGAAGCTTAATTTTAAGAGCCTGGGTGCTGTCCCTGAGTTTTTGGGCTCACTCAAGCCACAGCTCCACTTAGAGCTTTTTGCTGGTTAATTAGAGACAAGAATCTTACAGACTTTCCTGCCTGGACTGGCTTCAAACGTTTATCCTTAGATGTCAACCTCCTAAGTAGAGAATTACAGGCATCAGCCACCAGCACTTGGAAGCCCTACTTTTTTTTTTTTTTTTGGTCAGTCACGGTTCTTGAAATCAGGACCTGGGTGCTGTCCCTGAGCTTTTTAGCTCAAGATAGTGCCCTACCACTTTAAGCCACAGTGCCACTTCTGGAGTCTCACAAACTTTCCTGCCCAGGCTGGCTTCAAACTATGATCCTCAATCTCAACCAGAGTAGTTAGGATTATAGGTGTGAGCCAGGTGGTGGGCCCTGCTCATTCTTATTTATTTGTTCAGCAACCTCATTTCCATACCTATAGATGCCAAGTAAGCCCTATGCAGCTTAAATTGTTTTGAAAGTATAGGCTGCTCTATAGGGAATACTAAGCTTACTATGAGTCAATTCAATAAATACTAGATGAGGAAAATCTTAATGAAGAGATGCTTTATTTTTACTTTGCCAGATTCTAATGATTCAAGAAAGGAAAATTCTTTGAAAACCTAAGTGGATTAGATTTGGACAGAGATATTTTGGAAGAAAAATGTCAGCAAAACTCTTATTAGATGGTATAATAAAACAGCAGGAAAATAGTGAAATGAAATGGGATAGAAAACAAATATGGCAAGCCAGGTACCAACGGCTCATGTCTGTAATCTTAGCTACTCAGGAGGCTAAGATCTGAGGTTTGCAGTTGGAAGCCAGTCCAGGCAGGAAAGTCTGAGGCTCTGATCTCCACCAAACTACCCAAAAAGCTCGAAGTAGAGCTGTGGCTTAAGCAGTAAAGTACTACCCTTCAGCAGAAAAAGTTCAGGGACAGTGATCAGGCCCTGGGTGCAAGCCCCAGCACAGACACAGGCATAGGCACAGGAACACAAAGAAAGAAAAAGTATGGCAAGTAGAAAGCAAGCCATGGCCATTCGCTTGGCTGAGAAAGTAATTTAAAAAAACACTCTCATGCTACAACATTCAAAATACCAAATAAATGTATTAAATTTATGTATAAGGTTTTCTTGAGGCTATTAAAAATAACCAATACACACAAAACTCCACAAACTCCAACTAAGAGGCAAGGTGGGAAATGCTAAGTCCAGCAATAAACTTGTTGGCATTATTCTCTATTTTTAAGTCAAGGAAGAGACTAAAATGAGAGTAACTGCCCTGGGTTTCTTTTCATGCCAGCATATTAACCAAGAAAATGAAAATACCTGCAATCGTAGCTACTTAGGAGGCTGAGACCTGAGGATTGCAGTTTGAAGCTAGCTTGAGAAGGAAAGTTCATGAGACTCTTATCTCTAGTTAAACACCAAAAAATGGTGGAAGTGGCATTGTGGCTCAAGTGGTAGAGCGCTAGCCTTGAGCCAGAAAAGTTCAGAGGCAGTGCCCAGCCCCTGAGTTCAAGCCCCAGGACTGGCACCAAAAACAAATAATAACTTGTCTGAGTTTTGGGTAATAAGACACTAGAAACTTACTATATCCTGAACTTTTTCTTGGTACTCAATAATAATTATATCTGTTATGCTTACTATCTAGAATGAGTAAACTACATAAAACACAAAGTTTCAGAGAAAGCAACACCCATTCCTTAAGGTTCTCAAATATTTACAGATAATCTATTGTACTAGGAGACATTGGATTAGGTACAGAGTTCCAAAAACTAGCTATAATGAAATTGTATTTGTTTGTTTGTTTGGTATTAGTCCTGGGCCTTAAACTCAGAGCATCCTCAACACTTTCCCTTAGATTTTTTGCTCAAGGCTGGCACTCTACCACTTGAGCCACAGCTCCATTTCTGACATATTGCTAGTTGATCGGAGGTAAGGGTCTCTCAGACTTCCTGCCCGGCCTGCTTCGAGAACCTTCGTTTTTTCAAGTCCATTTTACTTATTTTTTAAATAATAAAATCGGATCTGAGCCAGGCATCTGGTGTGGCTCTTGTCGACAATCCTAGCTACTCGGAAGACTGAGGTCTTTGGATGGTGGCTCAAAGCCGGCCCAGGCAGAAAATTCCACGACAGTCTTATTTCCAATTAACCCTCCAAACGCCCCCAAGTGGAGCCAAAAAGTAGCAGAGCGTCAGTCAGGAGCGCTAAAGCCTAAGGGGCAGGGCACAGGCCCTGAGTTCAAGCCCCAGTTCCTGCACAAAGAAAAAAGTCTGGTCTGGAAACTCGACGACTATCAAAGTCTACCCACTGACGAGGAAATGCACAAACGGGGCGGCTCCAGGCCGGGCGCGGGCCAGCCACTCTGCAGGACGGG